TTTTTTTTTTTTTTTTTTTTTTTGGTTGTTCTTATTGCATTCCTCCTTTATTTAGTCCGTAAAACTCCACAGACTCCATCCCAGAGTTTTGTTGTCCTTCCACTGACTTCTGCCTTTCCCCTGGAAATTTTGGGAAGGAGGTTGTCCATAAAAGTCACAAGGATGAAGGATTCACCCCAATCCTTCCCCTTGCCTGGAAGGAAACACCTCCTTGGATGGCGCCAGGGAATTTTTTTCCCAAAAAAAGCCATTCCAAGAGCTTGGATTCCCTTTGGAGCGAGGCTGGGGGTGCCTGGCCGTGGATTTGCCTCGGGAATGGTGGATGGGGCCAGGAAAGGCTCCGGAGAAGCAGAGCCAGGAAATCCATGAGTGCTGCCAGAAGCTCGGCCTGGGGGGATCCCTGTGGGAATGGGGCATTCAGGCTTCCCATAAACCACCCCATAAATCTGGGAAGCACGAGGCTCCCTATCCCGACTGGAATCATTATTTGGGGCCGGGCTGTGTCCTGGTTATGGATCATCCCCGTGCCAGGAGTGCCCCAAAAAATCCTGCCTTGGGAATGGAGGGATCTGACCCCAAAACCTGCAGCAGGACCGGGCTGGGCTCGTTCCTCCTCTGCTGTTTTCCCTGTCCCAGCGTGGAATCCGAAGGGAGCACCCCAAAAATTCCCAGGTGGAATTTTTGGCCACCCCTGGAAGCGCTGGGCAGCAGGGAGGGGAGGAAGGTGTTGGCCCTGGTCCTGTTGTTTAGGATATTAAGGAATTCCAGCCTTTCCCTACAACATCCTGCTGGGATGTGTTTGTATTCCGTGGGGTTTTTGGGGAGTCTGGGGCACTTTTATTCCTATGGAATAAAAAAATCCCTCTGAAATGGAGTTTCTGGCAAAATAAATGTGATCCCTGCTGGTGTTCCGTTTCTGTTTCTGATTCATTTTGTTTCCCCTAAATCCTCTGGCAGAATCCATTTTTATTCCATCCCTTCCTGAATCCCAAACCAATTCTCCCTGTGCTGGGAATGACTCAGGATTGAATGAACCCCCGGTTTAAATGAGGAGGAAAAATTCCCTCTGGGTTTCACCTCCAGCTCAGGTGGGAAAAGGAATTTGAATTCTTTAATAAAATTTCCCAAATCCCCTCAGCTGCTGGGTGAGCCCTGCACCCGCTCCAGGGAAATCTCAGAGAGCTGGGAATGCTTGGGAAGCTCCTGTCCCTTTCTGACACATCCCAGGAGTTTTTCCTGGAGGGAAAAAGGCTCTGCTGCTCTTGAAGGGTGAAATTTGCGTGCAAAGAGCGGGATGGAGCCGGGGAAGTGGGAGAGGTTCCAGCTGAATCCCTGCCGGAGCCCTCACGGGGGGTTCTGCTGGGATTGTGTGGGGCTGGAGCGCGGGCAGACCCCAAATCCTTCCCCTTTCCTGCTTCCAGGGCCGATCCCAACAGAATTTTGGGAATTCCTCCCATGGATATTCCTTTGTGGGAGGGACAAAGGCTGAGCTGTGGGGTGAGACTGAGAAAAACCCTCAGGCTGCTACAACGTTTGGGGTTTGGGGGTGATTTTTCGGGATTTTTTTTTTTTGTGTTAGAAGTTCCATTAAGGTTGCTCTGCTCCTGGTGGGAGCTGTTCCAGGGAGCTGATCCCAAAATTCCAACTCTGCCCAGACTGATCCCAACAGAATTTTGGGCACTTCTCCCACGGATCCTCCTTTAGGACGCTTCAGAAATACAAAGTTTGAGGTTTTGGGGTGATTCTGGGGGAGTTTTATGTGTTAAGAATTCCATTAGGGTCACCCTGCTCCTGCTGGGAGCTGATCCCAGAATCCCAACTCCGCCCAGACTGTTCCAACAGAACTTGGGGCATTTCTCCTTTAGGATACTCCAGAAATCCCCTCAGGCCGTGCAGAGTTTGGGGTTTTGGGGTTCATTTTGGGATTTTATGCGCCAGAAGTTCCATTAAGGTTGGTTTACACCTGCTGGGAGCTGCCCAAGGTCGCCGATTCCAGAATTCCAGGAAAAGGAAGAGGAACCCCACAAGCTCCGGCAGCGTTTTAGGAGCCGTTTCCTTCGGGAATTACAGCGGGAAGGCGGCAGGAGGAGGGAAAAAAAAAAAAAAGGGGGGGGGGGGGGGGGGGGTGGGGGGGGGGGGGGGGGGGCCGATGGGGGAGGGGCTCGGGCATTCCATGGGGTCCTACCTGTAGTCGAAGGATCCGTCCTCCACGTTCTTGTCCTCGGGATTGAGGTGCTCGTCCTTGTTGTCCCGCACTGCGAAGGAGCAGAACCCTCCCAGTTAAACCAGTGAGGACTGGGAGGGCTTGGGAACGGGGAGGGGATGGGGAAGGGCCCTGGGGTGTCCCTGAGGGGGAAAAACTGCACCGGGGAGGGCTTGGGGAGGGTTACAAGGGGGTTACAAAGGGGTTGCAATGGGGTTGCAATGGGGTTGCAAAGAGGTTTAAAAAGGGGTTTACAAAGGGGTTGCAAAGGGTTGCTAAAGAGTTGCAAAGAGTTTTCAAAGGGGTTGCAATGGGGTTGCAATGGGGTTGCAAAGGAGTCTAAAAGAGGTTACAAAGGGGTTGCAATGGGGTTGCAATGGGGTTTAAAAGGGAGTTACAAAGGGTTGCTAAAGGGTTCCAAAGAGTTTGCAAAGGGCTTACAAGGGGTTGGGAAAGGGTTTTGAAAGATTTACAAAGGGGTTTAGAGAAGGTTTGCAAAGGAATTGCAAAGAGGTTTACAAAGGGTTTACTAAGGGGTTACAAAATACTTGCAAAGATATTCCCCAGGATATTCCCCAGGACTGGATGGTCCTCAAGATTCCCGGACCTATTTAAATTTTCGAATTTCCCATTCCCACTCTCACCTGGATATTCCCCAGGATTGGATGATCCCCAAGATTCCCAGACCTATTTAACTATTGAGATTCCCCATTCCTACTCTCACCTGGATATTCCTCACCACTGGATGATCCCCAAGAATTTGAATTTTGGGATTGCCCATTCCCACTCTCACCTGGATATTCCCCACCACTGGATTATCTGGACCTGTTTAAATTTTGGGAATGGCCATTCCAATTCCCTCCTGGATATTCCCCACCACTGGATGATCCCCAAGATTCCCGGACTTATTTAAATTTTAGGATTTCCCATTCCCACTCTCACCTGGATATTTCTCATCACTGGATGATCCCCAGGAATCCCAAGAATTTGAATTTTGGGATTCCCCATTCCCACTCTCACCTGGATATTTCCCAGGATTGGATGATCCCCAAGGATCTTGGATCTGTTTAAATTTTGGGAATGGCCATTCCAATTCCCTCCTGGATATTCCCCACCACTGGATGATCTCCAGGAATCCCAAGAATTTGAATTTTGGGATTGCCCATTCCCACTCTCACCTGGATATTCCCCATCACCAGATGATCCTGGACCTGTTTAAATTTTGGGAATGGCCATTCCAATTCCCTCCTGGATATTCCCCACCACTGGATGATCCTGGACCTTATTTAAATTTTGAGATTCCTTATTCCCACTCTCACTTGGATATTCCTCACCACTGGATGATCCCCAAGAATTTGAATTTTGGGATTGCCCATTCCCACTCTCACCTGGATATTCCCCACCACCGGATGATCCTGGACCTTATTTAAATTTTGAGATTCCCCATTCCCACTCTCACCTGGATATTCCCCACCACTGGACGATCCCCAGGAATTGGAATTTTGGGAATTCTCACCCGGGTACTTTCCGCCGCGGCTCCTCTTGATGAAGCAGACGATGAGGAGGATGAGGACGAGGAGGGCGATGGCGCACATGAGGCCGATGAACCAGCCCTGAGTGGCGATGTCCACCTGGTTCTTGGTGTAGGCTGCGGGAAAATCGGGAAAATTGGGAAAATATTCCTGAGGAACGCAGCAAACCACGGAGGGAATGGAGGAAGAGGAAGTCGGGGAATTTCCTTTAGTTGAGGTCGTAGCTCGGGGATTTGTGGGGTTTTGGTGGTTTCTTGGTGTTTTTTCTGGTGTTTCTTCGATGTTTTTGGGGGTTTTTTTTTGGTTTTTATTGGTTCTTTATTGCATTTATTTTTGTGCTTTATTGGTGATTTTTTGGTGATTTATTGCAGTTTTTTTGTGTTTTCTTGGTGAATTTTGGTGGTTTATTGCATTTTTTTGTGCTTTATTGGTGATTTTTTTGGTGGTGTCTCGGTGATTTTCTAATGTTTTTGGGGGGATTTGTTGGTGTTTTATTGGTGGTTTCTGGTGGTTTATTGCTTCGGTTTTTGTGGTTTCCTGGTGATTTTTTGTGGTTTCTTGGTGATTTTTTTGTGGTTTCTTGGTGTTTTTTGGTGCTTTATTAATGATTTTGTGGTAGCTTATTGCATTTTTTTTGTGCTTTATTGGTGATTTTTTTGTGGTTTCTTGGTGATTTTTTGATGTATTTTGGGGGTTTTTTTTGGTGTTTTATTTGTGGTTTTTGGTGGTTTATTGCTTGGGTTTTTGTGGTTTCCTGGTGATTTTTTGTGGTTTCTTGGCGTTTTTTGTTGCATTATTGGTGTTTTCTTGTTGCATTATTGGTGATTTTTGTTGGGTTTTTGTGGGGTTTTATTGGGGAATTTTTGATGGGTTCTTGTGGGGTTTTTTTGGTGTTTTCTCGGTATTTCCTTGAGGTTTTTTTGTGGAGTTTTTTGGTGGGTTTTGGGGCGGTTTTTTTACAGTGTTTGTGTTTGTTTTGGTGTTTTATTGGTGTTTTTAGTGTTTTTTGGTGCCTTTGGTGGTTTTTGATGCTGTTTTTTCTGTGGTTTTTTAGTGTTTTATTGGTGGTTTTGGCTATTTTTTGGTGGGGTTTTGGTGGTTTTTGGTGCCCTTTTTTTGTTTTTTTGTTTTTTTTTGTTTGTTTGTTTGTTTGTTTTTGTTTTTGTTTTGTTTTGTATTTTCCTTTTATAGTGGCAAACAAAATAAATCAGTTTTATCAGGAGCTACAAACAACGAAGGGGCCCAACAGAAAGGAAAATCTGGGAAAAGGGAATTGCAGATAAAGGCGAAGGAAGCTGGGGAAGGAACCTGATGGAATTTGCTGCATCTGAAAACTGCCCCGGGTGTGGGAAGATCCGAGAGAAACATTCCCAGGTCCTGCTGCCCCGGGATTTTGGGCAGCACCCGTGGATCAGGGAATCGCTGAGTTCTGAGGGTTCATTGGAAGCCTTGAACTGGGATGAACTGGGATGAACTGGGATGAACTGGGATGAACTGGGATGAACTGGTGTCCCTGCAGAGGTGACAGCGGTGGCTCCTGCTGCCTTTGGTGGCCACCGAGGGTCTCGGGACTGAGAGGGGCCTGGTGGAAGCCCCCCAAGACCTGGGAACAAGTGGGAAAACCTTGGAATGACACCGGGAATGACACCGGGAATGACACCGGGAATGACACAAATCCAGCCCTCGTGTCCAGGGATTTGGGGCAGCACCTGGATCAGGGAATTGCTGAGCCCTAAGAGTTCATTGGCAGCCTTGAACTGGGATGAACTGGGATGAGCTGGGATGAACTGGGATGAACTGGGATGAACGGGAGCGTAAAGGGATCTGATCGCTCCAAGATTTTTCTCCTGGATCCAATTCCTGCTTCCAGCTCCTTCCCAAGGCTCCTGCCTGTTTGTGGGATTAATCCCACGCCTGTTCCCATCCTCCAGCTCCCGTGTCCTCCCCTGCCATTCCCCCACTCCCGGTTCTCAGCTCTCCCACACGGTCAGACAGACAAATCCACGGCCTAAAAATAGCTCCAAGGCTGCCTTTCCCAGCCTCTCCTTGGAATTCAGCGAGGCAGAGGAGAAAATAACCTTCAGCACGGCGGAGGAGCTGGATTTATCCCAGCTGAGGGAAAACTGAGGCGTTCCCGGTGGGAATGTGGGAGAACCAGAGTGGTTGGGATGGGATTGGGAATGGGGAGAGAGCTGGGAGCATCCTGGAAATCCGGGAGGGGAAAAAAGATGGATAGAGAAAGGAGGGAGCAGCCCTCCCTTAACGTGTTTGGAGAGAAAGGATCTTGGAAGAGAGCGTTGGATTGGCAAAAATTCCCAACCCACGGAATTTCGGGGATCAAACCGTGCTTATTCCATTGGAATTGCAGCCAGGAGAAGAAGTCCTGCCCTGGGGATGGAATGCAGGGAATTGCAGGCAGGAAATTGGGATTAAAGAAGAGAATGACACGGAGGAGGATGTTCGGTGAAGAAGTGACCCTGAACCCGGAATGTTTTGTGGATTTTGGGCAGCACCGAGAGGGGAAGGAGCTGCCTGATGCTTCCTTTGGCTCCAACTCTGCCAAATCCCACATTTCCTTATCCCAGCCCGAGCTCTCGAGGATGCTCGGGAAGGAAGCTTTGCTGGAAAGTTTGGAGATGGAAAAATTCCGTGAACAGTGATGGGATGGGATGGGATTTTTCTGGGGAGGAACAAGGGGGTCTTCAAAATGTGAAATTCCAGAGAAGCTTGAGAGGAGGGATGGGGGTTGGAGCTGGGTTTGGAAAGGAGGGAGCATTTTAAACCCCAGATTCCCAGGAAATCTCACAGGAGGATGGGGAGCTGCCTGTGGGTAAGGG